TGCAGAAAAGGGAGAATTTCCTACCGTTGGCTCTGGCTCTAACTCATGCTTCAGGGAAAGCTCCTGGGCATGACAAGAAGAAACCCTTAGCTTTTTACAGGGGAGCATTCCCTTGAATTTAGACACCTCTCTGTATGAGGTTTGGCATCAACAAAGGCAGTTTTTCTGGTTGCATTTGCTAATGGCATGGCATAGTGTCAGGAACAACCACATCCAGATTTAATGTCCTGTCTTTTACACTTAAAAGTCTTGTGATTTTGGATACATTTTTAACCTCTTGGTGCCTCAATTTTCTTAGCAACAAAATGAGGAAAATAATAATTTCCTCAAAGGTGTTTTAAAGATTAAAGATAACATGTATAAAATGCCAGCTACAGTGCTTGAGTAGTATTCAATAAAAGTTATCAAGTCCCCAAAGTACAATTATGATTCTGCCTGTTGTTAACTTTCTAAGTGAGGGATTGGAGATCAGAGTAGCCAATAAAATTTTGCAGAAAGTTGAATTGAGTCAAAGAGAGATTCTGGGATAGAAGATCTTAATGAATTCCATTTCCCAGATTGGGAGTGTCTGCTGTCCATAATATTGCCAGAATGTCTTTGACAGAAGCTTGTCTCTCCTGTAGCTCCCCAGCCCTGTCAGAAGCATCCTGGAGAGCATTGTTTTAATGAGACAACAGAGATATAAGGGTGGTAATTTAGGTGGCTATGCTAGCAGTCTCTTCCTAAATGATTCTCTTCAGATTTTAGTATCAGAGATCTGATTTAGTAGGGTTGTAGTGGAGTCCATAAATCTGCATTATAATAAGCAATACCCTCACCTTCTAGATCAGTGGTTCTCAACCTTCCTAATGCCGCAATGTATTTTCATTGTTACAAAGGGGTTGCAACCCACAGGTTGAGAACCACTGTTCTAGATGATTCTGATATAGGTAGTTCACAGATTGCTCACCTAGTTTCCATATGCTCCATTCCCATGTCTAGTCATAGTAAAAGCCTTATATTTAGTACACAAAAGAAATATGCTGTCTTTTATCAAGAGTCAGTGTGAGCACAATTAGAAATACTTTATTTAGAGATATGTTGTTAGCTTGCTACTTTTGCCCCTGGATGTCATGTCCTTAAAATATCTCTTCACACTGCTGTCATGTCTAAGTCACAGTCTCTTAGCCTCAGTAGCTGCAGAAGCTGTTCATGGGACAGTTGGCTTTGAAGCAACTGAAGGGAGTCTGAGGAGCCATGTTGTGCAATGGGGAGCGCTTGTGGGCTGTGTGGTAATGGGCGGTCCCAACACTAAGTGCTGCAGAGGCTTTGGTTTGTCACGTATGCCATTCTGGAAGAGGTTGCCATGAACCAAGGCCACACAGGGAGTTTAGAAGAGTTGTGAAATCAAAGAGAGCTGTCTCAAGGGAAGATTCTCAAAAACTAAGTGCTCACTTAACTGTGAAGAAAATCTTTGTTGGTGGCATTACAGAAAACCCTGAAGGACATCACCTAAGAGATTATTCTGAATAGTATGGGGAAAACCGAGGTAATGGAAATCATGACTGACCAAGACAGTGGCAAGAAGATCTTGGCTCGGCACCTGTAGCTCAATGGTGAGAGCACAGGTCACATATCCTGAGGGTGGTGGGTTCAAACCCAGCCCTGGCCAAACTGCAACAAAAAAAATAGCCAGGTGTTGTGGTGGGCGCCTATAGTCCCAGCTACTCAGGAGGCTGAGGCAAGAGAATCAACTGAGACCAAGAGTTTGAGGTTTCTGTGAGTTGTGATGCCATGGCACTCTA